TAGAACCAAAAGGAAAAAAAATTTCTCCTTGCCATGCACTTGTCTTCTTAACATCTTAATCTAACAGCTGAAATGTTTCCACAGCCTTCCTTAGTGTCTATTGGAGTGATTTATCACTAAATTTAACAAATCAGCTGTGTTCATGATCTAAAACATGCATCAAACATGCTGAAAGCAGACTGCAGCACCAGGTAGGCTAGCTCAATTGTCCAACAGACCGGTCCGGCACTCTAAAGTTGCAAATGCCGTATTCTAGCCACAACAGGTGGTGGGGGTCTGAGTGACATTTTGTTAACTCTGTAGAGGGTCATTTTAGCACATACTGGCTCGAGAAAATGCTTTTTTTTAATGAACATTTGCCAAGTATCCAATGAAGATGCAAAATGTTATGTTAACTTTATTTAGCATGATGGTAAAAGTGATTAGTTAGCAATTATTACTCAGCCAAAGAGCACTCCTAATCTAATAAAACTGACTGGATAATGCAAAGCAGCTGAACAGGCTGTAGGAGATTTTGATTGAGGAATTTTAATCACTGCCTGACCTAAATCTTTTCTCTAGTTTAGCCACTTTTTTGCATTAACCCTTTAATAGAAAAAGTTATGTTTTTTAGCTTCAGAACTGCTCTTTGGTCTAAATAATGGCAGACACATCCACCAAATTGAGTCATTGTAGTAGAATATGTCTCAAACTAAAACACAGCGGCCCAAAGTGAATGACAGAAACAAGAACAGACCTGGACAAAGCTGGAAATTTTCAGAAGCAAGTGGAAAAACATTTGAAGGGGACAAGAACATGGAATAAAATGATAACCTTTAGGTTTACACAGAGGTGGAAAGAGTACAAAAATGTCCTACTCAAGTACGAGTACCAATACTTTGATAATTTTTTACTCAAGTACAAGTAAAAGTACTTGCCTACATTTTTACTCAAGTAAAAGTAAAAAGTATCGTAAATAAAATGTACTAAAAGTAAAAGTTACTTAGTTACATTTTTGTCGGCGTAAAGATGGTTACATCAGTGCAAAACCACAACACCAGTTCACAACACACACACACACAGTTTGATGGAGGGATTTCTGTCAGTGAGAACAGGACATGCACATTGATTGGACGAGGTTTTTCTAGGCTTGTACATTTCAATTGTGATTAAAATTATTCTTTATTTTGAAAAAAGAAAAAATGTAAATTTTTAGCTCCCATCAGTATGTGAGGTATCTCAATGTTCTCATGACAAAACTAACATGAGACTGTGCTCTAACCTGTCACATAACAAGCTAAATGAAAGTCAAACATTTCAGATGGACCGTATGACAGCTGCTAATGTTGGCCCTGCCCTACTTTACCTCTACATTACAGTTCCTTTATTTGTGTCCATCCTAGAGCTCCTCTCTGACCTTCATGCTTATTTAGAGCAGCTGATTTTTAAAGTTAGCAGAGTTCATCCTTGGTAGTGGGTTCACTCACTCATTTAACCGATCACCACTGAAATCAGTTTGTTCATTCCAATCCTCCTAAATAATCCTCCAATCATCCAACTAGAATCCTTAAGGGTTCCGTAACGTCCATCCTGTCAGAACAAGCCGTGGGAGCCCAGGTGTTACTAGAACTAATGGTGTCTCCTCACCAGCGTGAGCCTCCCAACTGTGAAGGTTGGTCTCCAAACATGAACTTTAAATTCATGCATTTATCTCCTCTTGTAACACTTCAACATGTTTTAAAAGGCTTGTATCATGATATGTTACACCTCCCAGACCAAAGATAAGATAAAACATTATCGTAGACACTATAAAGACGTCATTATTTATGAAATATAAGTTATTTTCCTGAGCCATTACTTCAGCCAAGATATAAGATACATGGATTTGATGAAACCATGCTGCCTCATGCAGTCCTATATGTGTAACACACACACACACACACACACACACACACACACACACACACACACACACACACACACACACACACACACACACACACACACACACACCTCATGACTAATTTAAACTACACTGACCTGCTTTTGTAATACTTTAATCTTTTATTCTGTAGTAAAATGAAGAAACAAGCTAAATCATCACATATCTGTGGCATCAAGGAGCATCTTCTGTGTTCAAACACAGGGATGGAGCACAATGTTTCCACCTGAACAGGATCAGTATGTTTTAACTCACAGAGGCCTGCAGGTCTTCTGTTTTATGAGCAAAGCGCTGGAAATCCACGAACGCTAAACGTTATTTTGCCGCTTCCGTGCGGAGCGGTAGGGAAACACGTTTCAAACACGGAACCGAGTCCGGCTACCGAACCGAGCCGAATTCTGATGCCGTAACACCGGTGAGCGAAGGTGCATGTTCCAACCCACAGGAGAGGAGGTAAACAGCGAGTGGATCACAGGGACTGATGTTTTTGAGCAGAAGTGTACACACACATACCCCACGGTTTAGACGCGGTGCTCATGTAGGTGTCTCTTTCTGTTCCGACGATGCTACACGTAATATTTTTAATTTATTAAGCCTACAATTTATTTTTACTCAGTAACGGATATGATTTAAAATGTAGCGAATTACAAATCTTTTTTAAAAACGTACTCAAGTAAAAGTAAAAGTACAGCTTTTAAAAACAACTTAAAAAGTATAAATATACAAAAAAGCTACTCAATTATAGTAACGTGAGTAAATGTAATTCGTTACTTTCCACCTCTGGGTTCACATATGTAACCAATTGCAGGATACAGTAAGGCAAGTAAAGAAAAAATAAGCAAATGGGCCAATGGTCAAGTTCGAAAAGAATTAATGAGAGTTGTTTTAAGAATGACTAGAATCACAGGTTTGGTACACAACAGTATGTATACCAACAATTTAATGCAGTTTTTGAACAGAACCAAACTTTAATAACACAACAATTTAATATTTGCAACAATATGTTAACAGCCAGTCTGCTCTCAATGTTGTAAAGTCTGCCAGCTTAAAAGTCAAAGTTCACCGGGTCAATACAAAAGTCAAGTGTTCATTTAATGCGATTTTGCCCTGCCCTTCGAGATTGTTCAAAGAGGAAGAGCAACCTGTTCTTCAGGCCCACTTGGAATGGTTTCGGTTCTATCAACAGGCAAGGCTCGCCATCTTCCTCGTCTAGGAACAGATCCAATTTCTCGATCCACCAAAAAAATCAAGGCTGTAAATAACAGGACTATTAAAATTCAGAGTCGACTCTATATAAACATCCAGGCATACGGCCCTGAGCAGATTAAGGTAGGTACTTTAACCCATTGGCCCAACCAATCATGTAAAAATAGTAAATGGCCTGTATTTGATATAGCGCCTTCTAGAGTCCTGGAACCTCCCAAGGTGCTTTACAACACAATCAGTCATTCACCCATTCACACACACAATCACACACTGGTGGGGATGAGCTACAATGTAGCCACAGCTGCCCTCGGGCGCACTGACAGAGGCGAGGCTGCCGAGCACTGGCGCCACCGGTCCCTCCGACCACCACCAGCAGGCAAAGTGGGTTAAGTGTCTTGCCCAAGGACACAACGACAGCGACAGACTGAGTGGGGCTCGAACCTGCAACCTTCCGATTACGGGGCGAGCACTTAACTCCTGTGCCACCATCGCCCCACACTGTGTCTTGTTCCCACAGTTTCACAGTACAATCAAAGCATCACTGGGTTATCAAGAGTTCATCTTTTTTTTTCCAAGTAACTCTGAGTATACCATTAAACATGGCAAATCACTTCTTTCTCCCTCTGTTAGAATGCATTAATTGTCAGCCATGTAATTCTAGGCCGCATTGCATTTAAGCTGGTGGCTCAGAACAATTTAGCCCCTGGGAAACCCTGTACATCATGTGCAGCTAAAATGTGGTCATCTCTATGACTACCATTAGCATTCCTCTTTAGCTCCTATTTAATCTAGTCTCGGTTCAACTCATCAACACGTTCCAGCGTTCCTCTCTCAAGAGATTTGGTTCACTCCAGCTGTACCCATGCGAATCTATAAGAATTAAATTAAATGAATAAAGCTACCCAAGTTTTTCCTATCGGCTATTGGCAAAATCACAGTTTTTACATCATACATCCCTTGTATGTAAATATATAATATCAACACATTCTCACACCTGAAGCACCTGGAAACAAACGTTTGGTCACCCAGTGTCTTTTTTCGATGCTTCAGGTGTGAGGATGTGTTGATAATATACCCGCGGCAATTGTTGTCATTGTATATAGTCTACGCACAAAACTGAATAGTATTAGGGCCACTAAGAACAACATACAAGCATGTCATATTCAGAGGACAGAAATCAGTAAATGAGGTAATTCACCATACAGCATCGAAGAAGAAGAAGCAAATTCTACTTTTTTTAAATTAAGGACTCAAAGAAAAGCCCAAATTTAAGTCACCAAAGCCATTTCAAATGAGTGTTGTTCCTGAACCATCGTCATCTATGTAGATTTTCTCCATCACAGCTCTGGTACAAAACCTCCCAATATTTCTCTACAACCACGGAGCGCTGTGATTGGCCAGACCTAAAATTATTCAGGCCAATGGTAGACCAGCTGAGGCAATGGAGAGCCCAATCTTTTGCAACTGCTATGGCTTGAAAAGAAAAGAAAAGAAAAGATCTTTATTTGCCATTTGTATACACACACACACACTCACACACTTGGTCTTGAATTATTTGTGCAGAGCTTAGAGTCAAGACTTTGAGGCTAAGAAAATGGCTAAGTATATTAAAAAATATGTGACCTCCGAGTTGCATTGGTGTGATATTTACTGTTGGGTGTTAGCTCAGTGCTGCAAGATCCAAGACTCAGTCTGTCACAGATTAGCTTTTGTTATATAAATGTTCACTAAAAGACACACAAAGCTCAGTAACACTCACTGGTCTCTTGGGGTTTGTGTGTGACCTTTGTCATGTTGTGACTGTTCATCTTAAGGGTTTACGTCTGTATATTCTGAACCATCAACACACTCACTGTGGCTGACTCAAGTGTATGGGATTAGATTTGTGCCAATAGGATCAAGAAAAACACTTTGGAGAGCAAACAAATTTTAAGACATTGAGAGAAAAAACCTTGGTTTCAAAAGAAAAACTTACGATCTGAATCAGATTCTTAAAATGATCAAGAAAAACACTTTGACGGTCAAACAAAAATTAAGAAATTGACAGAACAAAAATATTGACTAAAGGAAAAAAACATGTTTCAAAAGTAAAACTTACTATCTGAATCAACTTCTTAAAATGAGTAACAAAGTATGTTTCCTTTTTCTGTTTGCCTCTATGTGTTTTTGTTATCAATTTCCTTAGTTTTGTTCTCGCTGCTCAGAGCTTTGCTCTCACTACCAGATTTGCACTTACACTGTCTGGCTTTCTCCTTTGCAATCCCTGAGTTTTTGGTTGCAATTCTGACACAACCCTTTCGGGTGGGCGGGACTTCTGAGAAGTCCTCTCCCATAGGACAGTGGTTTCTCTTGAGTGACAGTTCAGTGACCTGGAAGTGATGTAGCCTCCAAGACATTTTTTTCCACCTGGTCAACAACATGAATTTTGAGCCCCAAACAGGTTATTTCTGCTGTCTGTGGTGTCTACTGAGGATCTAAAGTGAGTATTGATAATATATTTTATCTTTTCTTAGTTCATCTGTAAGTTAAGCCACTTTTTAAGTTGGTTTTAACCAGACGCTAGCTCACTAGCTAGCTGCTAAGCAAGCCATTGTGCTAGCCTCAGGACAATGGACTATTGTTCCAGAGAGACGTATTAAAAACTCATCTTAACATATTCATTACTGGTTTCATGGAATAAATTATTGCGGTTTATGTTAATAAGTTTGCTAATTTTTCAGGAACCTGTGGAACATCAGAGACTTTGCAGCTACTGGAGCTAACCTGTGTACTGCTAACTTGCTACAGAGGAAGCAGCAGAAAGCTGAGCTAACAGGCTGTTTTGCAGGTAAATACTCTTTTAGTGGAACTGCAGGACTTTTATGGTATAACTCAGAATTTACATGAGCTATTGTGGGAAGACTTTTAAACTACATTTACATACAGATACATGTATTTTTTATTCCATGTTACTTGGACGGGCTAAACAAGTTCATAGTTCTGCCTGCTCCTTTTTCAGTGAAACGAATGGATTATATGATGTAACTCTCTAGTAAATCTATAGTAACCATAGTCTGGTGACTAGTGTCTATTTTAGCTACATTTAGCTTAGCTGGAGTAATGTAGTCTAACTCTGCCTCAACTGGTGACTTTTTTACTTCATTGTCAGCCAGACAAAATGTTGCTACAGAGAAACGCCCAAGGTACTGACCCCACAATAGAAAATCATAATGTCCACATTTATTTCCCACAATCTCAAACGTCACACTAAAATTAAACTTTTAGCTCTGATTTAATTATTTCCTTATTGATATCAGTTTTCCCTTTGTTGTAGGTAATCCTCGGGTGTCAGCAGGAGGAGGTGACCACCTGCATAACGGAGCACCCTGGTTCTGAGCCAGTTGCACCTTTGTGCAGCTCTTTGGGGAGACGATGCTCAGCAGGTTAAACAACTGTAAAATTGATTTTGTTCGTAGTTTTTGTTTAATCTCTTACATCACCAGTTTTTCTTTCTTACAGACACATTTCTCCATGTGGTCAGGTGGTGTTGGTGTGATCTGGGAGGGCACACTCATGTCGTCATCTCTTTGTGCCGTCTCCAGGATCCTGATGGGAGTTCTCTGTGCCTATAAAGCAGGAGTATTTACTTCTGGGCCTGGAGGGCCGGTATCCAGCACGTTTTAGTTTTAACTCTGTTTCAATACACCTGATTTCAGTCAGCAGATAATTAACAGGCTTCTGCAGAGCTGCTGCACAGGTAATTCAACCACTGATTCAAGTGTGTTGGAGCAGGGAAACAACTAAAACGTGCTGGATACCAGCCATCCAGGACTAGAATTGAATACCCCTGCTATAAAGCCTCCCTCCCTCCTCCGGACTTTAAACATTAGTGTTTTATTACGGTTTACCTGATTTAGTAAATAAATCTCAATTTATAAATTTCCTGTTTTGGTGCCTGTCCATAAAATCCTGCATTAGACACCGAAAGCTGAATGGATGCCTTTCATTCACTTTGACATTCAATGTATTTTTAAAGATACACTGCAAAGTAATTGCTGATGTCATGATTTTTGCAACAACCTGACCTTCATGCAGAGAAACTCAGGAGACAAATGAGCTAAAAACAGTTTATTAAAATGTTTGACGGATGACTGAAGAGGTAACAGCTGGAGATCAGGAACCAGAAGCTTCTGCGAGGAAGAGCAGAGGTTAGTAAGAGGCAACAGGTCAGGGTTTTCCTAGACTGTGCAGGTAGCTTACAGAGTCTGAGAAACGCCACAGAGATGGAGCCACAGGTTTTAGTGTTTAAAGATCAGAAGGCCCTGAGGTAAAATTGAGTGTTAGTAATGACTAAAGAATGACTTACAAAAGGAAAAGTTTAGGTACTTACGGTCTAAAATTGTAGCGCAGACGGGAGACAGCAGAATGGTGGAGAAACAACCAGAAGTCTGGGAGAATGACAGCATGAGTAGCAAGCGGGTGAGCAGAAGGTAGTGGGTAAGCCGACTGCCAGTATGGTTGTGTGATCAGGAGCTTCAAGGAAAGAATTCCCATAGATCTGCATAGAACATGAGAACGTAAGTTTGAAAAACGGCAGAGTCATGGGCTAGATATGGGTTAAAACACTCTAATGAGTGACCAGCTACCAGCTTTTATTCAAGGATGGGGTTACAGGTGTGTGAGGATGTGCCTGCCCCATGAGAAGAGTTTTCAGGTAAGCCTCTCCATGGTGCTCTGCAATGGTGACTAGCAAGGCTAATGAAGAGATTAAAGGGAACACAAACCCAGGACTCCGACCCAAACTCCTAACAGCAACACAACGACTCCTCCCACAGGCGGTTGTTCCACTGAGCACGCAGCTGCCCGAAGTTCAGCATCAGGCAACCTGTAGGCGATGTAATCATACGTGGCTTCTGAGCATGCAAGTTTATTCTAACTGTACAGCATACAATAATAATAAAGATTTATATTGTGTTGTGTTGCTCACCTTACAGGTTCTTTTAAAATATTATCCTGTGCCTGCTTACAGCAGGTCTTTCAGGTCTTTTGAACTAGACACAGAGAGGTTCAGGCACAGGTACTTAGTCAGACTCCTGATATGGTAGAGCATCCACCACCACCGACTCCTGATATGATAGAGCATCCACCACCACGGACTCAAACAATAGGTCCATATGCTTGTCAACTGGAAACAATGGAAAAAGATTACCATTAGTACAGATATTTATCCATAACCATCACTGTGGGTTTATTATACAGCATATGAACTACATGAGGTGGGATTGGTCTGCAGTAGGGATGTGTATTTTTGACAGAATTTATTGTTGGAATATTCAATTAACAGTCCAAACTGATACTTAACATATACAGGTGCTGGCCAGTAAATTAGAATATCATCAAAAGGTTGAAAATATTTCAGTAATTCCATTCAAAACGTGAAACTTGTACATTATATTCATGCAATGCACACAGACCAATGTATTTCCAATGTTCATTACATTTAAATTTGATATTCATAAGTGACAACTAATGAAAACTCCAAATTTGGTATCTCAAAAAATTAGAATATTCTGAAAAGGCTGAATATAGAAGACACCTGCTGCCACTCTAATCAGCTGATTTACTCAAAACACCTGCAAAGGCCTTTAAAAGGTCCCTCAGTCTTGTTTTGAAGGCACCACAATCATGGGGAAGACTTCTGACTTAACAGCTGTCCAAAAGACAATCATTGACACCTTGCACAAGGAGGGCAAGACACAAAAGGTGATTGCTAAAGAAGCTGGCTGTTCGCAGAGCTCTGTGTCCAAGCACATTAACATACAGGCGAAGGGACGGAAAAAATGTGGTAGAAAAAAGTGTACAAGCTCTAGGGATAACCGCACCCTGCAGAGAATTGTGACGACAAACCCATTCAAAAATGTGGGGGAGATCCACAAAGAGTGGACTGCAGCTGGAGTCAGCGCTTCAAGAACCACCACGAGGAGACTCATGAAAGACATGGGATTCAGGTGTCGCATTCCGTGTGTCAAGCCACTCTTGAACAAGAAACAGCGCAAGAAGCGTCTCGCCTGGGCCAAGGACAAAAAGGACTGGACTGATGCTGAGTGGTCCAAAGTTATGTTTTCTGATGAAAGCAAGTTCTGCATTTCCTTTGGAAATCAAGGACCCAGAGTCTGGAGGAAGAGCGGAGAAGCACAGAATCCACGTTGCATGAGGTCCAGTGTAAAGTTTCCACCGTCAGTGATGGTGTGGGGTGCCATGTCATCTGCCGGTGTTGGCCCACTCTGTTTCCTGAGGTCCAGGGTCAATGCAGCCGTCTACCAGGAAGTTTTAGAGCACTTCATGCTTCCTGCTGCTGACCAACTTTATGGGGATGCAGACTTCACCTTTCAACAGGACTTGGCACCTGCACACAGTGCCAAAACCACCAGCACCTGGTTCAAGGACCATGGTATCCCTGTCCTTGATTGGCCAGCAAACTCGCCTGACCTTAACCCCATAGAAAATCTATGGGGTATTGTGAAGCGGAGGATGCAATACGCTAGACCCAACAATGCAGAGGAGCTGAAGACGACTATCAGAGCAACCTGGGCTCTCATAACACCTGAGCAGTGCCACAGACTGATCGAGTCCATGCCACGCCGCATTACTGCAGTTATTGAGGCAAAAGGAGCCCCGACTAAGTATTGAGTGCTATACATGCACATTCTTTTCATGTTCATTCTTTTCAGTTGGCCAACATTAGAGAAACAAACATTTTTTCATTGGCCTTTAGAATATTCTAATTTTCTGAGATACCAGATTTGATGTTTTCATTGGTTGTCACCTATAAATATCAAAATTAAACGTAATAAACATCGGAAATACATTGGTCTGTGTGCATTGCATGAATATAATGTACAAGTTTCACGTTTTGAATGGAATTACTGAAATATTTTCAACCTTTTGATGATATTCTAATTTACTGGCCAGCACCTGTATAACATGAGTTTCTGAACCATAATAGCGAGATTTAAATTTCAATGGTGGAAACAAAACCCAATGCACACTGCTGCCAACTAGCGGGCCACATTTAAAATGCACCAAAAACAAAGAAAATACACAAATGTTTGCATGTAAATTCTTCCAAAAATTAGATACACTGCTTTTGAAAATGGATGTAATATCTCAGGAAAAAATATCACGATATATTGCCATATCGATATTTTAGAGACAGAGTTCGAGAATATCGATACAATGTTACTGGGAAAATACATCGCGATATATTGTCATATTGATATTTTCTTACATCCCTTGTCTGCAGTGTACTTTGTGTACACTATGGTGTGTCTTAGCTCACCAGCTGCAGTTGATGCATGTGGCTGTGTAGCACTTCCATTGTAATGCAATGCAGCAGTTTTCAATCTGAAAAGAAAGAATAAATAAATAAAAAATAGCTTTTAGACAAAAATATAGATTTTATGTAAAAATTAATTAAAAGCATGTATTTAACTCATTATTGATTATCTGTCCTGGATAACATTCTTTTCATGGAGAATACAGAGCACGTGACAGAAAGCACATTGAATCTGATTTGTCTTGTTCTGACAAACAAATGTCAGATCTGTATACTGGAAAGAAATGTATTATCAAACATACTCACTTAGATAATTATTCAGTCAGAGTTACATCATAAAATCCATTCGTTTCACTGAAAAAGGAGCAGGCAGAACTATGAACTTGTTTAGCCCGTCCAAGTAACATGGAATAAAAAAATACATGTATCTGTATGTAAATGTAGTTTAAATGTCTTCCCACAATAGCTCATGTAGATTCTGTCTGAGTTATACCATAAAAATCCTGCAGTTCCACTAAAAGAGTATTTACCTGCAAAACAGCCTGTTAGCTCAGCTTTCTGCTGCTTCCTCTGTAGCAATAGCAGTACACAGGTTAGCTCCAGTAGCTGCAAAGTCTCTGATGTTCCACAGGTTCCTGAAAAATTAGCAAACTTATTAACATAAACTGCAATAATTAATTCCATGAAACCAGTAATGAATATGTTAAGATGAGTTTTTAATACGTCTCTCTGGAACAATAGTCCATTGTCCTGAGGCTAGCACAATGGCTTGCTTAGCAGCTAGCTAGTGAGCTAGCATCTGGTTAAAACCAACTTAAAAAGTGGCTTAACTTACAGATGAACTAAGAAAAGATAAAATATATTATCAATACTCACTTTAGATCCTCAGTAGACACCACAGACAGCAGAAATAACCTGTTTGGGGCTCAAAATTCATGGTGTTGACCAGGTGGGGAAAAAAAAATGTCTTGGAGGCTACATCACTTCCAGGTCACTGAACTGTCACTCAAGAGAAACCACTGTCCTATGGTAGAGGACTTCTCAGAAGTCCCGCCCACCCGAAAGGGTTGTGTCAGAATTGCAACCAAAAACTCAGGGATTGCAAAGGAGAAAGCCAGACAGTGTAAGTGCAAATCTGGAAGTGAGAGCAAAGCTCTGAGCAGAGAGAACAAAACTAAGGAAATTGATAACAAAAACACATAGAGGCAAACAGAAAAAGGAAACATACTTTGTTACTCATTTTAAGAAGTTTATTCAGATAGTAAGTTTTACTTTTGAAACATGTTTTTTTCCTTTAGTCAATATTTTTGTTCTGTCAATTTCTTAATTTTTGTTTGACCGTCACAGTGATTTTCTTGATCATTTTAAGAATCTGATTCAGATCGTAAGTTTTTCTTTTGAAACCAAGGTTTTTTCTCTCAGTGTCTTAAAATTTGTTTGCTCTCCAAAGTGTTTTTCTTGATCCTATTGGCACAAATCTAATCCCATACAAGTGTCTGTTTTATTCTTTGAGTAACACGGCCTCTAGACGTCACCGTCTCATTTGTGTAGTCTGGAGTTGTTTTTTTTTTGACAGGAGAAGCAGGATGTTGGCTTGTTGCACAGAGATGCTGCCTAAGAAAGAGCCAAGAGCCATGTGTGGACAAAAGGACACGTGTGACACAGCCATGCACCTCTTTGGTGCTGAGAGCAAATTAGCCTTGTGGTCAGCAGTAAGTGTGCTTAAAGCAATACTAACAGTGGCAGAGAAGCTAAGAGCTCACCCCATAACTGGAGGGTTGCTGGTTTAAGGCCTATCTGTTTCAGCTGCCTTCTGGCGGTGGCCTCATCGTCAGTGTGCACCAGGGCAGGTGTGGCTACATTGTAGGTCATCACCACCAGCATGTGAATGTGTGAGGGAATGGGCAAATTACTGATTGTGTTGTAAAGCTTCTTGGGGGGCTGTAGAACCCTAGGAGGCACTACTGTATATGAAATACAGTCCATTTACCATTCTCCATTTGTCTTATATTAAAATGTATCAGATGCTTTACACTGTGTGATTTATTAGTTAGTACTATGTTAACTGCAGACCTTGATGAGTTTTGGAAGTGAAGCATGTCAAAAGTAGAACCCTAGAGAATTTTTACTGGAGTGGCATGACTACAAGCATCCAGGACGCGTCTAAGTCACAGAGTTTGCAGTGGAAAGCAAACTATAGAGTACTTAGGCTTCTAATACCCATAAAGATGTGCCATAACATGCCTCTTCACACATCATTCATGCGCGCCAGTGTAAATTGGGGATAACTATAGATATCTGCAAGGTGGTTTTATGCTTATAGTAATTTTTGGAATATCACAGGAAGAGAACTTTTCCAATGGCTAATGGAAACATATCATTCCTGGAACAAAAGCCTGAGAAAATAAATGGACAGTATTTGTTTCTTTCTGTTTGGAGAGTTACAAAGGCAGTGGAGACCCATTTAGCAGCACAAAAGGAAGAATAGAAGTGAGATTTGGAAAATATGTCCAATTGCAATATGTCACCAGTACTGTCATATTAAACTTAATCCATCTTCACAAGTGAAGAACCTGGATGTCATCTTTGACTCTGAGCTGACTTTTATCGATCATATTAAAAATATTACCAAAATAGGTTTTTATCATCTAAAGAACATCGCCAGAGTCCGCCCCATTATCTCTCGGGCCAATACGGAGACGCTGATGCATGCTTTTATCACCAGTAGGATAGACTACTGCAATGCCCTGCTTTCTGGTCTTCCTAAAAAGAGGATTTCAGGTTTACAACTATTATAAAACTCAGCACCACGTGTCCTGATGAAGACCAGGAGGCAGGAGCACATCACTCCAGTTTTAGAATCACTGCATTGGCTTCCCGTATGTTTCAGGATCGATTGCAAAATACTTTTAATGGTTTTTAAGTGTCTTAATGGTCTTGGGCCTTCTTATCTTTCAGAACTGCTTTTACCGTGTGAACCCACGCGGTCTCTTCGCTCCTCTGGCAGCTGTGTCCTTGTCATCCCTAAAGTCAGGACACATATTCACGGCAAGGCATCCTTCCAGTACTACGGTACTTGCCTCTGGAACGAGCTGCCAGGGGACCTCAGGGCTGCTGAGAAAGTTGATGTTTTTAGAAATAGGCTCAAGACTCATCTTTTTAGCTTAGCTTTTAACTGAATACTATCACTTTTTAAATTAATTACTTAGGTTATTTATTTATTTGTCTATTTATTTGTCTATTTATTTATTTAATGTATTCTTTCTTTATATGTGCCTTTTAAACAGTTTTTTTACCATGATTTATGATCAACATTATTTTAAAATATCTTTATAACTTTTTATATTACAATTCATATTTGAGCTCTTTTGATTTTATATTTAACCTCAATTTAACCTTATTCCAGTGCTTCCTCTGTGGGAGCCCTCCGCCCCGGCGGCGGTGGTCGGCTGTGGTGGCCTGGGTGCTTTCCAGGTGTGCCTAAGTGGAGGTGGGGGTCTCTGCCCTCCCTGCCCTGGGCGCCCTGTGCCAGTGCCTCAGCTGCTGCTGTGGATCTGCTGCTGCCGGGGCAGATGGCTCCCCTGATGGTGTTTCCTTATCTTAGCTGGTCTGGCTCATCTGATCTCAGTCAATCGTGTTTTTTACCATGGGGAAGGAGGCATGTGTGTGTGTGTGTGTGTGTGTGTGTGTGTGTGTGTGTGTGTGTGTGTGTGTGTGTGTGTGTGTGTGTGTGTGTGTGTGTGTGTGTGTGCCGGAGGATGAGTGTTGTGATGGGGTTTTTTATTGTCAGACTGTTTTTAAAATTCTGGGGATGGGAGGGAATGTGGGTATGCGCGGCCTTTTTAATCTGTTAAGCACTTTGAGTTGCAGGTTTTGTAGGATAAAGTGCTATATAGATAAAAGTTGATTGATTGATTGATTGAACTTTAATCCTCAAACAATCTATCACTACTCATCTTGTAACAGCTGGAAATCTATCAGAGATGCATTTTGAATTTTAAATCAGAAACTGTCTAATCGGCATACTTGGAGGGGGGGGGGCGGTGCTTCAGATGTCAGATACTAGATCCAGAGCCACATTGTGGGTTGTGAAAAGTTGGTTTGAACATAGAAGGATTAGCATGACGGAAGTTTGTCAAAAGCTCAGTAACTTTCATGCCTTTGAGAAATTAATGTTTTAACTCAAATGTCAAGCATGCCCTCAATCATCAATCACACATCAGTTTCGCATGAGTCATTTACTGATGAACCAAGTAGATTTACAATAAAAATGTAAACCAAGAAGCACCGTGCATTCATGGTGTGGCTATTGTGGTTCTGCTTCAGATACAGGACATTTATTCATGTGGACATATTTGCTGTGTAAGCACACCATTTTTATTTATTTATTTATTTATTTTTGCACTTGTATTTTCCAAAGGTCAAGTGTGTACTGGTGAGCGTCTGATAGTGCAGCTTCCTCACAGCAGCATGGATGAAAGAAAGAAGACAGCTGCTGGTGGAAGGTGGAAGCCCTTTGACTTTCCTGGCACATAAAACAGGATAGAGGTTTGGTTCATGTCTGTCTTCTTAGCCAGATCAGGGTTAGGTTTAAGGATTGTTAAGGATTTCAACTAATTATGGTGGGAAGTTGATAGTATATCATAAATTATAGATTAACGCCAGCCCCTACACCCATGATCATTTCAGAGAGGAATGCAATTTCAAACATCATTTAAACCATGCTTACTCATAGTGGTGGATTTCACTGAAATGCATTGTATTTTACATCTGGTAAATATGACTAACTGGTACTTTAGATTATTTTTCATTGCAGGAAAAATATCAAAAACTAAATCGTTGAATATATTTGTCGAGATTTGTCGCCTGAGGCAGTGGTATCCAACCCTGGTCGTTAAGGGCCTCAATCCAGCATTTCTGAAAGGTTTCTTGCATCAAAACACCCAATTTTAATCAGTGGGTGATTGACGAGCTTCTGCAGTTTGATGACCTGCTGAACAATTAACTCTTCTCACAGAAGTATGAAAGGATGCGAAACTGAGAGGTAGCGTGTCCCAGAATTTGTTCAGGATATCAGATTTAGCGCCACAATTTACTTCAATGTCTGAAACGTTGTCAACAATTCAGCAGAAAATTATGTTTATGGATCAGAGGCTCAATCCTTCAAACTGAGAACAATTATGCAGAAAAAAGATGCTTTTGCATAAGTACAGCTTATTTTGGAAGTTACTAAAATGCCTGCAAGTCAAACCAGAGGAAGACAATGTTCCTCCTCAGAAGTCTTCTCACAGACAAGTAGAAAAGTGACACCAGCTAGAACCTGGCTGATGTTCAAACTACCGCAGAACACTTAAAAACCTCCTGGTTTCAGAGCTGCTGTGGTTTTGAAACAGAAAACTGGTTTGATGCACCGATGACAGACTTGGAGTTTGAAAGGAAGAGGAAAATGTTTGCATCAAAAAGACTTCTCATAGAAAAAGGACAGGATGTGAAACTGAGAAGAAATCCATCCTAGAATCAGTTCAGGAAATCATTTCTGAACTTGATCAGGATTCATCACTACATTGTGCATCATTCAAAACTATAAAAAATAAGTAAATAAAAACACAAAACAAAACAAAAATAAACATCTGCTTTGATAAACTGACACCTTATCATAGTGGTTTTTATGGTTCTAATTGCCTGTTTAGCTTCTAGCCCTTTCTGTTCAAACCTATTTTTTGATATTAAGTCTAGAGGTTGTTATCCTTTCCATCTTAATTGCTCATTTTGTATTAGTGTATTTTATGGTTCAAATTGCCTGTTTGGTTGAATTTTTAGTCCTTTATTTTAAATAGACTGTCTAAGTGACCATTTAGCTTGTTTTAATTGTGCAGTGTTGAAAGTGTTTAACAATAAAACGGTACGGTTTGGGAAGGAGTTTACACACCTCTGTACCTTCTGAGGTTTATGTAGTTGTGAGAGTTTCCTCTACTGGAGTCTCTTATGGCAAACTGGTCTCAGGCCAGGGGTCACCCAAAGAGCTGTTGAAACAACCTAATGAAATGAAAGCACAGAAAGTAAGTTAGTAAAAGTTTATATCAGCTTTCAAGATTTAAAAAAAATCTCAATGTGTTTCATAAACAGAGAAAAAGAAAATGTTAAAAGGTAAGTTTTGAGCTTTAAAAGGAATCCACAACTCGTGTGAGAGTCACAGCCAAAAGCAAAAGGCATTTGTAATGGTACTTTCGGTAACGAATCTGGGTTTGAATCCCTGCAATGCCCTGCTGATTGGACAGACATCGGTGTAACTTCATCCTGTCAGTGGCTAGGTCACTCATCTATAAAACATATCAGAACTTAGTTCATCATTATTGTCAGATGATTAATAGATTAATTGCACTTCTTGCAGAAATCCTGTTGGAATGCTATTGTTGAAAATCATTACTGAAGCTGATTAAAGACAGAAGTGATGCTGAAACTGATCTGAAATATCAAAAATAGCAGAAT